TCAAGTCACGGGAAAGAATTAGATTTGAGAACACTAAATGTAACTCATATGTCAGCAAGAAGAAAGGACGGGCATTCTTCTTTATATTACTTGGGTCCATACGTTGGTCCTGCCCCCCTCCGTAGACAGGATTGCAGCCACTGGTGCCTGCCTGGAGTACCCGATGCATGGAACGAGCTACTCTATATCCTCTTGCTAAAGTACGATTCCAAGAAAAGTACGAATTCTTCAACATTTCATGCGCAGTCGTTATGATCATTTACAGGGAAGCGTATAAGTTATATCGCGCAAGATCATTTGTGCACGTATCAAGCAGAGCAAAGATCATCTGATTGTAGGGATATCTGAAATTTTCTTACATTTTTTTTTTTTTAAGATTATTGCACAGATAGAATTCCAGTTTTAGGGGCAAGTTATAGAATTGAACAATTGTGGATAGATTTTGTTGGCAGTTTTGCATGTTGAATCAATGAGTAAAGATGAATTCCTCTAGTTTTGCAAGTAAAAAGAGTAATTCAAAAATCATGTCTAATAAAATAAGTAACTTAAAAAAAGTGCTTTATAGCTCAGTTGGGCATTTCTTGCTGTGAGAAGGTAAATGAAAACTATGGGAATTACTTATTAGAGATTACAGTTTGTAAGTTTTGAAGGAAAATTCAAACTATATATACCTACATGCAATAATTGAAATTGTAATGGTCAATTACATCATTTTGAAAAACATTGTGTACCAATGTGGAATTGTTTTTGATTAAGTGCGCCGGTTAAGTCCATTCGCACCCCATGCATAAATTCTATGCTACCGCCTAATGCTCAACAAATAAGTTCGCATTACATATACGCTCTCCGGCAACGATGGCTGCGGTGCCACCCAGCAGATCAAGAGACCTCGACAAGCTCCTCCTCCGGCCTGGTCAGGCCTAACTTTGAGCCCGGTCCAGAAGTATCTCTCTCTCTACCTGTGTCTGAGTTTTTTCTCTTCATAGCCTATTTTCCACGAACACATAGTGCATTGATATTTTAACTATCAAAAGATCCGTCTAACTAATGTTTTTATTTATGAGTTTAGCTGAGAGATGACATAAAGGAGTATGCGAAAGTTTTGGTAGTAGGCGCAGGTGGGCTTGGATGCGAATTGTTGAAAGACTTGGCTTTATCGGGATTCCGAAACCTCGACGTCATTGATATGGATTGCATCGAAGTAAGCAATCTTAATCTCCAGTTTCTATTCAGGTTAATCTTAATGCTAATTATGTGCTTGATGTGTGAACGCACGAAAACATGACCAAATATGTTAATTGGAATGCATCTAGGTGTAATGAATGAAAGGTGTGATGGAGAATATTGTTAAAGTTTATAAGGTGATTAAGGGATACATTTTGATTTTATCCTTTGCTCAATAGTGGTGCTCATATCCTTTTGAATTTAACCAGTCACAGTTCGATTGGAGTTGTGGATTTTCACTGTTGGATATTTTGGTGATCATCTTTAACTATAAGGATGGTCATTTGCTAATTAGTGGGATGCGCGTATAATTTTGGGATAGGTTGTTGGGTAATGATGACATTCGAAATATTATAGGGTTTAAAAGCAACGAATCCTTACTTTTGTATTCACACGTCTATATTCATGAATTTCATTTTGGGAGTTGGAACAAAGATACTGTCAACACGTGAAGACATTTGCTAGTGTGGATCAACCTTTCAACTTGGATTTCAAGAAAAATCTATTCAACATTATGCTATCCCCTCCAATTCCATTGTGAGTCAGGGATATCAATTAGCCAACTTGAGCTAAGGTTTAGGTCGTCTGAACTTGTTCTGATGTCATTTTATCAACAATCACAAATATGCAAGAAAATAAGCTCACGCTCGGATCTTTTGTTTTCTTTAGCTGGCTTGAATGAGCCATTTACCAGAAATTAAGGCCATCTTGAACATCATTATTGCTTTGTGCTGTTTTTGATACTTGTTAACCTAAAAAATTGAGTGTTAGTCAGGCAGAACAAATCCACGAGTTTAAAAATATTCATACATAACTGTTAACCTTTAAAAAGCTGGTCTTGAACCAGAGTTTGACAACCCAAGCCTTAGCAGATTTGGCATCTCAAGTCTTGGTACAACCTTGGTTATGAATACCTAATTCCGTGCTTCCAAATGCAAAATAAATTTAATTTGGAGTTTAAAACTAATGAATATGAAATTTTTAGTTCAGTTCTTTTTTATAAGGTAGTTGGATTTTAGCAGAAAGTTTACTTAATGCTGAAAAGTTTTCAGTTGGTAATTTTCTGTGGGCTTGAAGATATAGGAAAACCTAAAGCTGAAGTTGCTGCTAAAAGAGTGTTCGAAAGAGTCAGTGATGTGAATATCACGTCGCATCGAGGATAAGCCATTGGATTTTTACTGTAATTTCAGCATAATCGTCCTTGGTCTTGATTCCATTGAGGCTCGAAGCTACATAAATGCTGTGGCTTGTGGCTTTCTAGGTTTGCCTTCCCTTTTAGAGTATAATCAGGACAATTTTTGGGTCCTGTTAACATCTTAAATGAACGAATATGTGCCTAGTGAAATTATTTGGTTTTGGTATCTGGGTTTTTTGCTGCTTTTGATGAAATTCATTCAATAGGATTATGCTCGAATCCTCATCTTTTATTAGCCTATGTTCGGTGGATGTTTATAAACTGTTTAAAATCTGTCAAATCACTTTTTATCCACGTATTTCGTGGACCCACAAGTACTATTCACTTATCCAACATACATTTCTATCTATTTATAATTCAAAACTGTATATAAACACATCCTATACATGCTTCGAATTTGTTGAAACTTTTGGTATTTATTTGTTCATTTTGTTGAAGATAAACATATGAATAAATAAAATCATCCCCTCTCTAATAATTTAAGTATATAAATGTGGTGGTTCAACATAATATTGGTGTAGGCAAATTTCCCAAGTTTGAGTTTAACCATGGCCCAATTATGGAAAATTTCATGTGTCTCTGTGAATATAAGGAGCATGATGAAGATATAAATATAAGTAAATCCTTCTCTAATAGCTTATGTTTTTAGATGAGTTCAATGCATTTATTTATATTTATTATTTGGATTTGGATGAGAGGGTTTATCCCATTTTCGAATTCAGTCTTGATCCTTTTGCGCTAGATCATATGTTAACCTTGTAGATATAGGTCTTAATAAACATATTTTAATAAATAATCACTGCTTAGCTTCCATGACAAAACTGAAACTAGGTCCAAAGAGGTAACACTATACAGAAAGTTTAAATACGTTTTCGGGGTTTCATATTGAACATTCTGAGCTTTAAATGTAACGTTGTTCCTGTAACTAAACTTTCGGACATAATGGTCAGTGTTTACTAAGACTACGGCATGTGTTATTCTCGGATCCCCACCACGATACTTACTAAAATTTGTCTACTATTGCAGAGAACAAAAGAAGGCCACAGCTCACGAGTATCATAGCGGCTTCCTCTGGTGCAATGAAAGCTGATGAAGTCGCCAAAATATCTCTTAATGGAATCAAATCAGGCACTTTTATTGTTCCCTGCAACTTCGATGGATTCTTACTTTCTGTAGCAACAGCTGGGCTATGCCCTCAAAGATCATTCTTAATGGCATTTATGGAGGTGGTTGCTTCCCCAATATTACGTATTGCTGATTTATGTTTCCAGTGGAACTGGTATGGAAGCATTGAGAAGTGGCATGCACAGAAGAAATAGTAGGTAAGGTAAATACACACGTTATTTTTGGTTCTTGTTGATCGTTCACTATATGGAAATTGAAGCGCTGATTTTCATCCTGATGGTGATTGATATATTTCACTAATGTTATGATGCAGGGATCCTGAAGTTTTTGAACTTGTTTGGATATGCTGTTGGTTGTAGTACTTGTATCTGGTAAAGTTGTTATGTTACCTCCAATCAAATCCAAGGAAACCAAACCTTCGAGTGTTTACTACTTTGGAGACAAAACTCTACTCTTTTATGTGCTCATGGATATCCTGTTCTACAGATTGAATCCTCTTAACCATTTTTGGCAAATATGAAATGACTGCAGTTGCCAAAGGAACAACTGCCGAACTTGTAGTCTCTCTTATTTATTGACTTTTTCGAGCTTCTTGAAATGGTTTGCTGTTAGATTATGATCTCATTTGCAATGTTGCCTGCAGGCTGTAAAATAGAAAAGTTATTAGCAGTGTGCCTTATAATTTACATGTTATTCACAACTCTTGTATCTCCATATATAATTATGTGGGAAGTCTTGATTAAAATTCTGCTACGGAAGGAAAATAAAATCCTTACTGGGCATGGATCAGCTTGGAAAACCAATATAAGAGCTTACAAAACAGATTGAAATACTCCTCAAAGGTGCATCGAAACTGGTGTCTAGTTGACTTTGATGGATTCATGTTATAAAATTTTGCAGAATTCTATGCTGAGTGTCAACTTGCTGCAAGTCTCTGTTCGAGTTTTGGACCGGGGTATGAAAGGCACAAGTGGAGGAGCTACCATTGATGAATTTTTGGAGTTCCAGGGGAACATTAATCAATGGCTCTTGTTACTCTAGAGTTGGTTAACAAACAGCAAATTAAAGTCGTGTTGGGTCAATTATATGAATTGTTTTTCATCATTTTGTTCAAATAGTTACCATGTTTAGTCAAACTAGTAGAAGGTTGACAGTGTAAATCTCTCGACTTTCACAATTGTAATTTTCTAATTTCTCATGTAAAGAGCCGGAAAATCAAACGGGATGGAACACTGAACAAGTCGAAGCATTTCTTTTGTGGGTAGATAGCTCAAATTATCAAAAGTGAACAGCGATTTTAGTGCAAAGTAGATAGCGTCATTAAACAAAACAACCAAAAGCGTGAAAGTAAACTTCCGATTTCAATATAAAAAGTAAACACTCCAATAAAAAGCTATAAAAATAGAAAATTGAGGAGAAATAACTATAGAAATCAAGAAAATTGAGAGGAAAAGCCATGGCGTTATCTGTATTACTGAAACAAACGGGGTTGACGAAGTCAATGGTCAACAGCTTCCGAGCATCAAGGGCCTACGCATCGGTTGCAGTGGGCACGGACTTGATATCGGCTGCACCAGATGTCTCTCTCCAGAAGGCTCGCTCCTGGGACGAGGGGGTTTCTTCCAAGTTCGCCATTACTCCTCTCAAGGACATTTTCAAGGTCCCAAATCAAATTTATTTGTTTACGTTTTAGGGTTTTTGAAATACTGTATTTAATAATCTTTTTGGTTTTTGTTGTATTGTGATTTTTCAGGATAAAAAAGTTGTCATCTTTGGCCTCCCTGTAAGTTATTTGTTTTCATCTGCAATTTTTATCAATGTTTTCTTCAGTGCTAATGCTTAGGACGTAAAAAAAAAAAGTTAGGGGGTTCCTACAGTTTTATCTCTTCTTTCTGTATTTTCTGTTTCTGATTGACAGGACGTAAATGACTGAGAAATTATTTAATCCACCCTAGATTATAATCTAAGATTGGAATCAGAAGGTCATACAAACTAGGATATTAGGAAGCTTCTCTTAAAGAAATTTTGCTCCTGTTTCTTTCTTAATCCTCTTTCGGTTTTTTTTTTAATGCATCTTTGCATTTTTCTGATTTTTATGTTTAACCAATCAAAAGGGTGCCTACACTGGAGTTTGTTCGGCTCAGCACGTGCCTAGCTACAAGAACAACATTGATAAGTTCAAGGCAAAAGGAATTGACTCGGTGATATGCGTCGCCGTTAATGATCCTTATGTAATGAATGGCTGGGCCGAGAAACTTCAGGCTAAAGAAGCTGTAAGTTTATCCTTTACTCTTACTTTTCTAACCCACACAGGATACAAGTAGTGAAATGGGTGAAATTGTTTTGAGATTTTGCCAGTAATTCTGCATCTGCAGAAATGGAATTTGTTGTGAAAATGTAATTACTTGGCAAGGACTCAAGTGCCGCACTTCGACAGTTTTAAGGAAGAAAACATAAACTAAATCCTTTTTTATTTTATTACCCTCCCGTATCAAGTACTGCATACGATAACTTGTGCAAAAAATAAAAGCAATTTGCTTATTTTCTCTTTCTGTGGCCATTATTTGTACTGCCTTTAGGATTTGGTTATTCATTTCTGTATCAGGCAAACTTGTATCGGGTTTTCATTTCTTGACTTTATAGAACTTCCTACTTATATGTTGTGCTTATGAGGAGAATGAATTAAGCTTTTATAATTAAAAAAATATCATCTTATCTTATAATGCAGATTGAATTTTATGGAGATTTCGACGGGAGCTTGCACAAAAGTATGGACTTGATGATAGATCTATCCTCTGCTTTACTGGGACCTCGATCTCATAGGCATGGATTCTCTACCCTTGTTTTCATCAAATAACTGCTGTTTTTCCATCGTAGTTTTATGCTTTAAGATCAAGAGAAACTGACACTCACCTTGTTCTTGCACAGGTGGTCAGCTTACGTGGTTGATGGGAAAATCAAAGTCTTCAACTTGGAAAAAGCTCCATCGGAATTTGAGGTTTCAGGCGGAGAAGTTATTCTGGGACAGATCTAGACCAATATTTCCTTTGCAGTTGATAGGCTAGTCTTTCCAGTTTTTGTATATTTCCACTTGCTATTCCGGATGAGCACAAATGGTATTAGCAATATGAGAAAATAACTATCTAAAATACATTATGATCAATAAATATGTGCATCTATAATGCTTGATGATGTTCTTCCCTTCTTCATTGAATATAAGCTAGTCGATCTTCATTCTGTTTCGTCTCAAAATTATTTCCCAGCTAATATTTTCTCAGTTCCTTGCTAAAGATGTCTATTTCCCTTGTGATTTTGTTGATTATATCATGAATTCAGGATTACTGGTATCCCACCAGAGAAACGCATGTGTTCATACTTGGTGAGCAATGGTAGGGAGAAATTTCAATGATGGCTGTGATACACAAGTGATGCATAAGCGAACTAACAAAATTCACAACTTGTGGCAATTCTCTCCCCGGTCTTGAAATGTAGATGACTGTCATTTCATTCGCCAACATCTCCACTGTAGCATTGTCAGCTTGATTATTTCGTTCCAACAATCAAGTCGCAGATATTCTAACAAGGGTTCATTCTGTCGTGCAGTTCTAGAATTCATTGGTTGATAGTTTAGTGAGTGGAATGCAACGAATGATAGATTGGGGATATTAATGCCACAATTGCAAGAGGTTGAGGACCCCTAGTGAAATTTATCCAAAATCTGGGAATAAAAGGATTTGGGAGAAGGGTGGTACATACGTAATTTGACCTCTCTTTCCCTCTTACAGTTCGCAGCTCACAGTTGAGCTCCACCTTACATGGTGAGTTCGGCTGCGACGCACCTGCATCGTCTCTAATGGCCTTCCTCTACAAGGCGCAGGCGCAACACTCCTTTCTGTACAAGCACTCACTGTTACGAGCCGTAGGGAACTGACTGTAAAAACCGTTTCAGTAGTTGCTTCTCTCGGCTCTTCTTGCGCAACGGAAATCGATGTGCACGCCGTAGAGAAGGTTGATTCCACGCTGTGTGAATTGTGTCGAGGTCACGTGCCTGATCACGTGATCACCAGGCGAATGTTAGGGTTCGTTTGATTGCAAATGTGGAAAATAGGTGAAAAGAAAGGAATTGAATTGCCTAAAAATTATTTTACTAATAATTGTAATTAATTGTGTTTGATTGGTATAATTTTCCACCAAGAAAATGTTGGAAGTTTGGTTCCGTTTGGCTTTTTTTTTTATGGAAATTGTCCATTAAAGTGAAAGTTTTTTCTATCATTGGGTTTAGAATTTGTTCCAATTGCAAAAA